TTCTCTGCATTTAAAAAAAAAAAAGTAACCGTATCTCATTTTAAGCATGTGCAATCTTTTCAAAACCAACCCTGAATCTTGTCTCATTTAATATTCATTTTCTACATTCCATAAACAATTTCGAAGCAACTAAACATGGAAACAACCAAAGAATTAAAGGTTCTACTACAAGGCACATTTCTCTATATTTGTTCCATTTCCCATCTACGCACATGATTAACAAATAGATATAAAACAGGGAATCATAATTGCTGTCATGACCTCTCCTCTTTAAGATTAACACTATAAATCAATTTAACAAGAGTCAAAATAACTTCAAGAGTCAATGAACTTCATACTCTAGACATACACAACAATCATAAGTAACAATTCGGCTTTCTATGTTTCCAATCCCTTGATCATAGGCCCTTCATTCAAAGACCAATCATCTTTATCATGATTAGCGACAAACAACGGAATTAGAAAACCACAGTAAGCAAGAAATCGTGCGAAATTCATAGAAACTAATCAACCATGCCAGTATTCCTTAACTGAGATTGGTTCGATTTCAAGTTCATGCAGCCCGATTCAAGCTTCCAATTTGCAGTCTTAACTATCGTTAAATTCTATCGTTGATAGCCAATAGAGTGATGCCGGAAGATTTCAGAAATATGGGTAGCTTCATATTAGGTTTAAGGAAAATAGCTGGAATCTTCTTAAAATAACGTTTCATTTTAGTTTAATTTCATGTTTGCTATATTACCTTAATTATAAATTAGTTTTAGGCAATTTTAGTAGCTTTAGGAATAAGTCAGGCTTCTCTATGAATAGGGTGGTTCTGCAGTGGTTGGATGGCCGTTTTTGATATTAATATAATTTTAAGCTTTTGAAGCTTCCAAAGACTATGCCTTTCGGAAATCCCTACAGCTAGGGTTTGTCTATTCCGTCTATTTTCAATTCAGTCCCTGTTCCCCATCAATTTGGTATCACGAGCCCCACGTTTCAATGGCACGCAAAGGCTGTGTTGCCCTCCCTAGCAGAGTTCAGAATCAGGAATATGTGGTTGGAATTGAAGAATCACGACGAGAACTTGCGCAACTCAGGTTGTTGGTGCAGAACCAACAACGTGACAACCGTGCGGCAGCACGAGGATTGATACCCAAAGGTATCGAAGATCCTGATCCACTGGAAGGTGTTGATGAGGTGTTTAAACATAAGGTAGAAGAGGTCAGTCTGTTCTATGGTCCCGGAGATCAACACGGTCAACTTGAAGAACGATTAGATTGCAGTGATTATTCTTCAGACTTACCGGAATATAAGGATGGGATTTTCTCATTTGGATTAGATTATGATCCATGGGAGAAGCATGGTCTTGATTGGAAGAATCCACCAATCGATGATGAGTACCCGGAAGACCGTGATGAGTGTTCGGATGTCTCTGAGGAGGATGTTATTGAGTTTGGTGAGCCTTGTCTTTAAGTGATTTAGAAAACAAGAAGGGTAAGGTGTGTTCTCGGCAGATTGGTGTTGACAGATTTGATTTGCGGAATTTTGTTGAGAGTGCAACAACTTTTGGTTATGTCTAGGAAAGATTGAGATGCACCGAACAAGATATGGTCTTAGAGCTTGAAGAGATTAGCGCATTGTATTTGGACGTCTCTAAGAGCCTGCTTGTCAATAATATAGTACTTTTAATGAAGAACCATAGTTTCTACAACAGAAGGAGGTTGTTTTGGACTACAATGATTAAGTCTTTAACCCTCGGAAACAATCAAGGAAAGAGGTTACTGAAAGAGTCTGCAGGATGTCCTTTTGATCGGGGAAAGCTGAGGAAAATTGTTTTGGAAACATAGATATGAGATGAAAATCAAGTTCTACACAATAGCAATTTTCATCAAATAGCTTTGTCCAATAAAGTGCTTGTCTGTGATTGCTATCAAACCAATGAATATGTTTTTACACTAAAACCTGCATCTCTATTCAAGGTGAAGAGACATCAGGTTCTTTATGCTTGGAGGAGGAGAAGAAAGAAGGCCTTGCAATACTTATCTGGAATTACTTTTGATGGAGGAAAACCCAAATCAAAACTCGAGGATGAGTTTTCTTTCAAGCAGGGGAGAGTTGATGCAGGAAGATTTCAGAATATGGGTAGCTTCATATTAGGTTTAAGGAAAATAGTTGGAATCTTCTTAAAATAAAGTTTCCTTTTAGTTTAATTTTCTATTTGCTATATTACCTTAATTATGAATTAGTTTTAGGCAAGTTTAGTAGTTTGGTTAAAGATGGATTTTAAAATGGAATGGGTCCAATATATATTTCCAAGCCAATTTGGCTCTCCAAATGTACCAATCTACAATACAAAAATGAAAATGGAGTTCTTCTCCTTGAAATTATTTTACACTACTGAGTCATAGAAGAAAACTTAAGACTAGGCTTATTAGATAATAAGAATCTTACATTTGAGTTAATTAGTTAAATAGATTCACTTCTAGTCTAGAACATGAATATATTTTAGCTTAATAATTCCTTAAAATAATCGTCAAAAATTTGGTGTCGTCACAGAGAAGACCAAGTCAAAGCCAAAACATTGGAAACATATTACGTTACCTTATGTGTTAGAAAAATAGTTCTATTTGTTGATTTAAGAAGTACAATAAATTGGACCGAAAGAGTATAAGGATTCTAGATCTCAAAAGATATAAAGTATGAAATTATTGTATTTTTTTTTGGCGTTATTTTTTGGTTTACTGTATTTTAGATCTCATGGAAATTGTTTGTGTGAGGCCAGCCAGCAATATTACCCCCAAGATGTAATAATGGAGATTTTATTGAAGCTGGCCTGGTTCGGTTTAGTTTGGTATGCAAGTCTTGGCAAAACCTCAATAATCTCACCCGACACCCTCAAAGTTTTTCGTCAACGAAAACAAAACATCAGTGGTGCTATTAACGATCCTGATTACTTTGAAAATTATCTCAACGACTTCCTTGTGCTAGACAATTGTTGCAAAGTTTCGGGTGAAGAACCGGAGCTCCTGATAACAAAATCTGAATTGCTTTTCGCAGTTCAGAAATTATTCACTTACAGTTCGTTTTGGATAATTTTATCCTTGAACCTTTACCTAATTACAAAACCTACTCAAACTATATTTATGATATGATTTTAACATAATATCTAGTGCATTCTTCATTTGAATATAACAAATAAATTATAATAATAATAAAAAACTTATTATACCTAATTTCTACAGTTAATCTATACCAATTATTAAATTAAATTAATTATACCTAATAAATTCAATTAAATTAAAAATATTATTAAATCAGTAAATATAACACAAAAAATAAAATTAAAGTAAATATAAAAAAATAATGACAATTACACAAAAAAATTAAAATTTTCTTTTTTTGCCCAAGGTGGCCGGGCCAACCGGGAAGAAGTAGCCACTTCTTCGCAGTTGGCCGGTGAGTAAACCGGTCAACCTTCAAAGGGTGGCCGGCCCGACCTTGGGCAAAAAATTTTTTTTTTTCAATGTTTTTTTTTAAAATTTGTTTTGTGTAATTGTCATTATTTTTTTAATATTTACTTTAGTTTTATTTTTTGTATTATTGTTCAATTATTTTAGTTAAATTTATTTATAATTAATTTAATTAGTGTATGTTGTGTTATTTAGTTGTAATTAATTTACTCAAAATATAACAAAAATAACTAATTCATTTACGTTAACAATAATTATTAAAGCCTACAAATTACTACTAACTAACTACCACATACCTAATTACAAAAACCTACTCAAAATGTATTTATCATATAATTTTAATATAATATCTAGTGTATTCTTTATTTGAATATAACAAATGAATTATAATAATAATAAAAAACTTATCATACCTAATTTCTCCATTTAATCTACACTAATTATTAAAATAAATTAATTATACCTAATAAATTCAATTAAATTAAAAATGTTATTAAATCAGTAAATATAACACACAAAATAAAACTTAAAGTAAATATAAAAAAATAATAACAATAACACAAAAAAAATGTTAAAAAATTGAAATTTTTTTTTTGCCTAGGGTGGCCGGTTGTCGCGCCGGCCACCTTTTGAAGGTTGGCCGGTTTATTCACCGGCCAACCGGGAAGAAGTGGCCACTCGATGGGTCGGTCACTTCTTCCTGGTTAGCCGGTGAGTAAACCGGCCACCCTTACCTTTTTTTTTTTCCAATTTTTTGTATCATTTTAATATCATTTTTTTGTTATCATTATATTTTTGTATAATTACTTTAGTTTTATATTTTGTATTATTGTTCAATTAATTTAGTTAGATTTATTTGTAATTAATGTAATTAGTGTATGTTGGAGAAGAAAAAAGAGTTTAGGGACAAAATTGTCCAAAACGAACTGTAAATGAGTAATTTCTGAACAGCGAAAAGTGATACCCTTTATTCGGAGCCATCGACTTATCTTTGAAATGGTAAGATCCGTTTCGCGGGTTGTTGCGATGGATTGCTATGTTTTGTATAAGCCAGCGGAGATGCCCAACTTCTATAACCCAATCTTGCTTCACAAGCTCACCAATTCCATATAGTATTCTAGTAATAACTCCAAAGATTTCATCGAGCCCTTAAACATTTTTAAAACACTTTGATTATCAACGTCAGCCAAGACCTTTCGACCACCAAAAGCATTTCTGTTGCCTCTTTGTTTTCCTGTTTTTTTTTATACTTCCTATAGATTTGGAGTAATCATATATATACACAAGTCAGAATATAAGTCTTGATGGATTTCTCAAGATCATCAAAATGCATACTGTAATAAAAGTATTAAAACCATGTCCAAATTAAACAATATCATCAAAAGAAAAAATCATTAATCTCATCGACTAAAAGCTAAAACATCCGGATTGAAAACAGATTTTGGGAGAAAAACAAAGTACAATTGGCGATGTTAACTGCGGATGGATCTGAAACTATCTTCTTCCGGGGAGCTTTGATTTCTCACCTTCATCGTCACGGGCATTTTAAACTTTAATTTTAACACCACTAGACGGAGAAGGAAGCACAACAGAAACTAAGCTCGGAACGTAATCAACTACGGCAAAGTCCCATAAATTTCGTCGTTTCTTTCGGTATAAAAACTTGGTGGCTTCAGCAGAACTTGGGGAAAAGAGCACATTTGTTCCCAATGTTACACCGGTTGTTCTATTGGTGACAAGGCGATCAGAAGGACAATTTTTGGGAAGAACAGATTTCTTTGTCCAAAATTTTTCCGACTCATTTTTCGCTAACACCCAGTGCTCATCATCATAATCATAGGCATCCTCCTTAAACACCATAAGCTCGAACTTCCTATGCATACGGCTGAAAAACAAATCCGAAACAACAACAGATCCTTCAGAAACGAATATATGTAGTTGAATAGTTGTCGGAAAAGGAAGGGGAATAACTCGAGCTTCTTGTTTATTTACATCCACCATAATCATCAAATAAGACCACTCGCTCTCATTGGAATCCACCTTGTGAACCAACAAATAGATACGACCATTATGAACCACGAATTGCTGACCCTGTAGGAGAAAGAAGCAAGGGCGAGGAAGAATGCACCGGTGGAACGCTTTCCAAGAATTACTCCTTAGACTATATACTTCAACCGTCAAACTCTCACAATCTGTCATCTTCACAACTTTATAGTCATTGTGGTGATCATCATAGTAGAATGCGACAACAATGTTGTCAAGACTCCTTAGTGGGTAGAACTCGCTCTTCGGAAGAGCCCTAACCTGACCCAACACTGGATTGCAAAGGTACACATCGCAGCTGGTTTCGGTTCGTTTAAGAAAACATAGCAATCCATGGCAGCAACCGGCCAACAATATCTCACCATGTTTAAAGATTAGCCCATGGCTCCGAATCAGACCATCATCTTCTATAGCTAGTTTGTTCCTCAATCTACCCAACAGTTTTCTAACATGAAGCTCAGGTTTTTCACCAGCTTTACACTTCTCCAGGAGTAGGAAGTTGTTACCAGTAGTAAAAGAATTTGGGTGATGAAAAAGTTTGAAGTTTTCAGGTGAGGTGATAAGGTTTCGCCAAGACTTACATACCCAACAAAATCGAACCAGCGACTTCATGGGTAGCTTGGACAAAATCACTAATAATATATCGTCGGGAAATCCGAGAAAATTGGAACTTTCCGTTTCATCTACCGTCACACAATCACGGATTCTTTTCCAGCGATGAAAATAAGATGTACAGGGGCGGTTAAAACCACTCCCTATTGAGGACATCGATAATCCAGACGGCAGGAGGGCCGGCCGATGGTTTTTGAAGAGTACCTTGAGAACTATTTGATTACTGTATTTGTGGGTTGTTAATTAATTATTGGAAAACCAGCGCTAGGGTTTTATTGCAGGTGCAAAATAAAAAAGGGTGGTGATAAATTGAGAGCAATTTTTGAATTCCGAAATCAAAATCTTTTCAAATACTTATATTACCCTTATGCAAATTAAAAGGATTTAGCGTCTCTTTTTGGCAGCTTCTTGGATCCATGACGCTTTAATCCACTCTATATAATCTCAATCTAAAGAAAAAGTTTTTTTTTTGGATGGAAAATTTGACAGTCCTTCAACCCAATCAGTTACCAATCTCAATATTTAGCATTTGTGTCCAAATCTTGTTTCTACATGAATTCTTCATCAGTTTGTTCTTGCTTATTTTCTGTAAACCAGTTTGCTACATACTTTTTTAATTCAACAAATTACACTAGTAACACATAGGAGGGAGTATCACATTATGTCATTATGAGGAGTAAAATGTACTACATATTTTTTGTATATTATTTTACTTAAAAATTGCTATGTCTTTTGTTATTAAAGATAATTACTCGTGTAGATAGATTACTACAATGCGTTTCTTATTAGATCACCTCTCCAAATCGCCATGGAGAATTATAAGCTATATCAGCATTAATCAAAGTTTGAAAAAGGGTTCACTATATATATATATATGTATATTTGAAATGGGTTAAATCTTGCTGATTATGAATGGATTTTCGAAAGCAAAATTAACGACCTGTCTAGAAATGATCATTTGAATTACTCTCCGTACCTATCAAGAATAAGATAAAATGAACAAAACTTTGCAATTTCTATTGACATTTAGTTTTTGCATCTGTTCTTTTTACATACATATAAAGACAGACATATTTATACAACATAATTACAATGAGACCTCATCGAGACATTCTACTCTCTTTATCTTATATAGGTGATATCCGAGAACGAAAGAGTGCGAGAACTGGGGCAACACCACGAAACTCGAGAAGACATCAACACTCGTAGCAACCAATATTCTTCTCATCAAGTCTCGAGAACATGGCTTTCTAGGGGCACTTGACGAGTCCAAACTGAATCCTAGGCCTATGATTAGGTTACTTAGAGATTAAGCCACCGCCTAAACCTATTCCGCTAGGGTTTCAGGAAACATGTAACACCACCTCTTTATATAGAGGTGGTGCCTCTCCCATAATTGATATCATTTACTTATCTTCTAAATCTTCCTTACACTATACACACACCTCTCTCTTTATTTTCTCTATTCTCTTATTGACTTAAGTATCGGAGAGTCTAACCTTGATAGATACTCGAGGCTCTGTCTTGCATATTTTAGTCCGTCCGCCGCCGCTTAGATCACCATCGCTGCCCGTCCTGAGCACCGTGCAGATTCATGCTTCGTCAGTAATTATCAACAGAATAATAGAAAGTGTAACACGAAATCTAGAACTGGAATGTACATATATATTCGGTTAATTCAAGCCCTAACTAATAAAAATATGGATTCTTAAAAACAAGAAACAACAAAACCGTGGAAATACAAAGCTAAACCTTCATTACAAAGTTCCAGTACTTGAAGCAGAAGAAGTAATATTCGTTCTAGCACACTGGAAATATAGGCAATCATCAGGACTAATCTATTCATTTGGATCCGGATGGCCTTTCCAATTCCGGAAGAAAACAACATAGAATAAGTTTTTACGACATGCTTGAGCTTCTATAGTGGGCTTGAAAAACTAGAAGGAGAAGGGACAGCTACTGAAACTAAGCTCGGAACCAAATCAGCTACGACATGATTACGTGAATTTGGAAATATTCCAGCTGAGCGTAAGAAATTAGACGCTTCGGCAGAACTTGGGAAAAACAGCTCATTGGTGCCCATTGTGACTCCAGTTGTCATATAAGGGAGAAGGGGTAAAGAGGGACAATTTTTGAGAGGAACAGACATTTTTGTCCAGAATTTTTCCCACCCATTGTTCCCCCAATTCCCATCATTATTATTATCATTGGAATCCTCCTTCAACACCCAAAGCTCGCTATCATTGTGCTTCTGGCTAAAACAAAAACTAGAAGCAGCAATAGATCCTTTGAATAGGAATAGATTCATATGAGGAAGAGGTGAACTACCTTTGGGAATCAATCGTGCTACCTCGTTGTTTATATACAGTATTACCATGGAATGTTTTGCACCGTCACCCAACAAATAGATACGGCTGTTGTGTACTAATATCCCAGATCTGCTCCGAGGAAGCCCAACTGGAGAAATCCTTAAGTTGTATATTTTCCAAGAGTTACTCCTGAGACTGTATACTTCAACCTTCCAGCCCTGCTCATAAAAGTTTACAATTTTCACAACCTTATAGTCATTGTTGTGATCATCATAGTAGAGTGTGAAAACTCTATGATGATAAGGATAATCGAACTCGCTCTTTGGCAGTGCCCTAAGCTGACCCAAAACCGGATTGCAGAGGTACACATCCCCACCGCAGTCTTCTGTAACAAAACATAGCAATCCATTGCAACAACCCGCCAAACGAATCTCGCCGTTGTCTTTAAATATTAGTCGATGGCTCCGAATCAGACCATCGTCTTCAGCTAGTTTTTCCCTCAATTTACTCAACAATTCTCTAATCTGAAGTTCGGGTTTTTCATCATCATCTTTGCAATTTTCCAGGCGAAGGAAGCTACTATCAGTAGTATAAGAATCTCGGTGATGAAAAAGTTTGAAGTTTTCAGGTGAGGTGATAAGGTTTTGCCAAGACTTACATACCCAACAACATCGTACAGATCCTTCTTCGGTAGCTTCATCGTAATCTCCAGTATTATATCGTTGGGTAATATTTTGGGCGGGCCTGACGGATAGGAACTAGTCGTGCCATCCATGATTACCAAGATTACTCCCCAGCGGCGCGCCGAAAACCACTCTCCGGTTGAATCCGAACTTGGCGACGGATTATTTTATTATTTTGTTTTGGTGAGTAGTTTCGCAAATCCCAAGTGTTTGTCGAGTTGAACGGTGGATTCTTATGCAGACCCAACCCAATTTTTTTTTTTAAAATATAGTTCTGATTGTACCATGATTCTGCTTCTTAATTACTAGTACTTTGTCTATTCTATTTTTTTTTTTTTCCTTTGAGAATCTAGCCACTTGTTACTGCTTATTTGTTCTTATTGCCTAATTACTATCATCAATTCATTGACCACTTATTTCCCCAATAAACCTCTATTACTCTTTTTTCAAAGGATGGCTGCTTCCAAGCCCACCTCCTGGTTGTCATCGCTCGGTCACTTCTTTTTCCACTACTTTAATCTACATACACTACTCTTCTTTAGTTCGACTTAGAGTACTTGGCAAAAAAACCAAATATATTGTAAATGCACTTTTTTGTGCATCCAACAAATAAGAAATAACTATTAGCGTCTTTGGACCAATGTATGTTTTTCTCTCCCCGCAAATTGGGACCCTCCCCTCAATTATATCAGCTTTTACAAACTAAAGTAGTATAGCCGTTGTATACTAGACTAGATTTTACTCCTACTTGACTCATAAGTAGCTACAAGTAAATTTGATAAGCTGGGAAAGAATTTACAAGTATTTCCGTAGCATTTTGGGTTAGATTGTGTACTTATGTTATGTATTTTGATGTTTTTGGAAATCTATAATTGTTGGGAGATGAAATGGAATAAAAACCTACATAAACGTGAATTTTAAGACCATTTTAAAAAAGAAGCACAAGGAGGATGGAATAACTTCACATTCTCGCGTAGGCACATTAAGCTTAGTCCAAAGTTGAGCATTGGAGCAAACACCAACAGCAATGCTAAATGTTTGTTTCGGTTAACAACGATAGGGATTAAATTGCAAAATCAAAGAAAATTGAAAATTAAAAGACGAATTATCAAAACTTTTGGCGCCAAAATTGCAATTTTTGCTTATTTCTCTCCTTAATTCAACCCTTTAGGGTGTTTTGCTTTTTCATTCTTCATAATTTTATTATTGCAAGACTTTATTACGTGTAACTAATTTGTTTTCCTAGATGAAAGTTATTTAAATTTTGGTTTTTAATAGTTGTGAGATTTAAATTTTAGTTTCTGTCTTAATTTTTTGTAAATATTTGCTTGTTCTATTGAATTATTGATATGATTGTTTTGGATTTATGAATAGCTAGTATTCGCTGTTTCATGAACTAACCAAAGCATTTATTTTTTTAGTTCTCTCCTCTCTGGCTCTCCCTTTGGCAGCCTCCTTGTCCCTCAAACCCTAAAAAAAAAAAAATTAATCTTTCCCATCTTTCCACCATGGAAGGATGTAGAAGTAATTTGATTCACATCCTTTCACATTTTTTACTATGTTTTAATTTAATTTTAATAATCGGTTTGTAGATTATAATCTACATTATAGTAGAAGCATCTTTATTGATGTTTGCAGGCATGGCATGAGCATCCTTGTTAATGTTTGCTAGTATTGTTGCGGTTTTGCCAGTAACGTACACGTGTACGGCTGATGCGATGGCTTTATTGAAGGTATTTATCAGTTTAGCATGCATGGTCCAAGAAAATTCAGTCACAGTAGATCTAATTATTAGGTCTACAATTTGAGGGTTTCAACGAAGGTTAGTGTTGTATTCTTGATCCGATTAAAAGTCTGGCACGTGTTAACAACCATTATTTTATGGGATAGATCAATATTAGTTTATTCATATAGTAGAACACAACAATAACATTGTGATTGTTTATAAGTTGTGTTTTTATCTCTATATCTTACTTTTATCGATTGTTGCTAGACGATTTCTAACAAATTAATGAATTTATCTTTTATTTCTCGAAAAAAAGTATTCGTTGTTTTGTAAGATTTGTTACTTAATAAGGGGCTAATATAATTTAATTACTCGATAAGTAATTTTGTTATAAGCACGAGTAATCTGTTATGTATAAACCAAGGTTTGTTTCATTGGAATCGGAATTGAGTTTCCTTTTTTTTTTTACTTACGGTAGTTGTTTTCTAAATTTTAGGAGATAACTAGATTTTTTTTTTTGACATAAGTGTCATTAAAAAAGGTTTTTTAATCATTGCATTTAGTGAAAATGGAGTTAGGAAGTTCCAATAACACTAATTAATGTATTCACAAGTCACTGAGTCTATTATTTTTTTGATGATCAACTGTTTAAACCAAGATGGGCATAAAATTGAACTACAACTTATATCGTTATCTGTTTTCACTATTGTCACTTTATCCTAATCGTATTGCAGTTTTAAACATTTTCCATTTTGTTACTTGATTTAAAAAAAAACTCACCATTCCCTGAGAAGATGACCTAGCTTTCCTATAATACTAGTTTGAAAATAATTTTAATTTATTAATTTGTTCGTCTAACACCCTCCAAAATCTAAAAAGGCCACGATTAAAACATGGTAATATTGGTGTTGCTTTCTCACGATCAATTATATTGATTTTTTTTTTTTGGCAAAAATAAGGAGGGAAAAATGTTGGCTCTTGTCCCGAAAGGAAAAATATATATATAGTCCACTTTGTAGTTTGAAATTTATATATTATTCTCTGTATTTTTATTTTTTTTATGGAGGGAATAGACAACATAAATTTGACAAAAGCTAAAACATACGACGGTCGAGCAACTACAAAAATGTTAAAATTGACTGATGATAAGTTTTATTTTGAAAATACTCGGTTAAATTTTCATGCTTAGTAAAATTATAGTGAAAATGAAAATGAAAACTGGACAATGTTTGGAATTTATTAATTAAATTCTAATTGATATTTTACATATCTATCTCTCTTCTATTGATAAATATATATGCTGTAACAAACATATATATTTAGTACGTAGCATGAACTCACTGATATCCAAACTGTTCTCACTGGGTACATACTGGCCATGAAGCACTCATTTGGTGCCATGAACAGTGCATTGTTGAGATTGTGGTTTCTCACCAAATAATCAAATTTGGTGGTTTGATTTTATTTTTGGGCATATTCTTAGATATCCGTTTATTGTTTCACCCAAAAGGAAGTTCTATTATCGTGTTTTAGTCATGTCAACGACAACCTTCAAAAGGAGAAGTTGCTCCAATTTGAAAATATAACCATAAACAACTAGATCCGGCTACCAGGAGGGGAAAAAAAAGAAAAAGACTAAGAAAGCATATTCTTCCGATTGGCAATTATAGGCTCAACTGGAACAATTTACGGATATATTGAATTTCCTCCAAACACATTCATAGATGGATCCATGATCATGGAATAATATCATGAAGCGAGACAGAAAAATATATGAATGATATGCGGGCGGGGGAGCAATTCAGGTGAATGTTTTGTAAATCTTTAAATAATAATCCAACACGTTTTGAGATAATTAAAGGGATTGGTCAGTTCACTGCTCCGAATCACAAATACTGGCAATACAACAAAACTAATACTATTAATTAACTTAATTCACAAAGATCTAGAGCACGTTTCTTGTTTTCCCAGTTTCTCCTTTCAAACTTAATCCATATGCAGCTAACTGTTTTGATGATCATCTCTCAGTGATTCAGCGTATTGGGATAGAATTTTCGCTTTCCTGTTTCATTCGGTTGCAAAAACAAAGTAAATAACGCGCTTGAAAACGTGCATTTTTTGAGAAATATATATGCAACATACTTCTGAAAATTGTGTGAAAAAGGATTAAAATAATTATGGAGAAACTGAATTCTTTTTACCTGGAGAGAAACACTTGCTTGTTTGATGTAGTCGCCACATCCTGTTGATCAGTCTTCGTAGGGCCTTCTTCAAAATAGAGTAGAGAACAAAACTTTTGATTATAATAATTAATCAATAATCACAGCAACTGATGCGGAAAAAAAAAACTAATGAACACAAAATACTCATCTATTATGGCTTTTCACAAAGTACGAAAGAGTAAATTTAATTTTTGAAATGGTACATCATACATTTCTATGAATTAACACTTAGACACGATACACATTTATATAAAATGAGGTCTAATATGAAACTATCTGGTATCGTTACTAATATAACAAGACCATCCAATTTATAAATACACAATCTTCTATTACCGCACATATTTTGCACGATTAACATTACCGTCACAATATGTATATCATAAAGAATAGTACTCCCTCTACCCAAATTTATGTCCAATTTGTGTTTTCACTTATAGTTCAATTTGTACTAAAAATGAAAATTCAAACACAAATAATAATTTCGGGACGGAGGGAGTAGTAAAAATAGTTGAGAATTTGAGATTACCTAAAGCAAGCTCAGAGGGATTCGACGAGGAATGAGGTGCAATGGGCAAAGAGTTATCCGCAACTGTGATCTTACGTGGTCTACCTCTCTTCCTCTTCACAATCGGAACTTCAACAACTGGAGGTTTTGGGACAACAACATCATCATTATCGTCATCAATTATGATGACATGATTATCAGCTGGACCTTTTATCTTCTCAACTCCAGTGTCGTTGAAAATTCTCACATTCAACGTCGAATCTCCGGATTGCACGAACTCCAGAAAATCGTTTTCCACCAAGCCGTGATCTTCGTAAAATTTCTTCCACCCTTCTGTTAGAAAAGTTCCTTGGTCGGAATGAGAGAGTTGAACCTTCCAGGAACCACCGAATGGGCCGTTCAAGATGACGGCGGCACCACCGGACGGTAGGGTTCGTTTCTTGCTCTTCCAAAATGGTGGAGGGATTTTCTTGTTATTCAAACACAAAAAGAGAAACGTTTCATACATGATGAGATATATGCCAATTTATAAGTTATTTCATACAAGAGAAACAATAAAATTGCAAATAGGACCTATAAAGAAAATAAAGATGTAATTTGTTGATATAATTTCTACAGTCAGAACGTAATAATAAGTTTAAACGACGCTCTACGATCAATTACTATACTTAGGACTTGTATTTATCTACTAGAATTAGTAATTTTTTAGTTCAAAATTGAGGCCCAGAATGAATCCAGAAATAAAACAATTTGATCCAGTACACAGTTTCTGTTTAGACACTAACAAATTACTACTGCATATTCTATTTTTTGGTATATTAAGCACCCAATGTTCGATATATATCATTGCTCCGACTAATAAATTACTACTGCATCTTTAATATTTATCCAAGTATTTAACAACAGAAAACTAACAAGCTAAATCATCCCTCCGTCCAAAAATGATTTTTAGAATTTTTATTTTTAGTACAATTTGTACTTGAATGTATGAATGACCAAACTAGATAATATCAGTTGAGACGGGAAAGTATCTAAAAACTGAATTTGAAATTATTTTGAACTTCTCGTGCGAGATCAGTGACATGTAGGATTTTATGAAAAGAAGGGAGAAAGAAGTGCAAGAAAAAAACCGAAGTGAAAAAGTGAAAATTAAAATTTTACATAAATTTATATGAAATAGGGTCTTCCCGTAAAAATTTCTTGGAAGAGGGTCATACTAGTGGTGAGAATCAAAAATACGAAAAATGGAATAATCAGATGGAAAAATAAACGCGGACAAAATATCATTCTTTAGGAGAAATCTAATGTAGCAGCAAGAGTAAAAAATAAACATGTACTTGTCAATTTATGAAGAAGAAATAAAATGATACCACTTTTTCGACGTTGAAACCACCTCTGATAATTTTGAAGAAACTTGGGTGCTGTAGCTCTTCATATATTTCACTTGAAACATTCTTCGACAATGAAGATTTGCTCATCTCTTCTAGATGGGTGAATTCTGAGAAAAGGGGGACAAAAACAAAAAGAACTAATGAAAATGTCCAGGACAACTATACGTAGTTATTACGTATGATTCTTTAGATTTTTTGGACCTATATTTGGAAATATTAAAAGCTATGAGTAAGAAGTTTTTATGACACAGTTACTTTTTATGTATCTGAAAAGTGAAAAAATCTAATACACAACAAATATATTCACATTTTTAGTGCATGCAACCATCTAAGAGCAACTCTAACCATTACATTATAATTTTCAGCAAATTTAGTATAAAAAGAGAATATTCCAAATATCTTTTCACATTAAATGTTTTTACATTCAAACCTTGATACACTAAATTTCTAAAAGTTATAGTCTAAATTTTACTTTTATAGTTAAAAATCTTATAGTCCGGTTAAAATTTTACTATACAGGTTATTTTCTAATATTTGTTTTAATTTAATAGTAAAAATATCAATTTTTTCATATTTAATTTAAATAATGATTAAATTAATTTTTTTGAAAAATAAATAAATATTATAATCAACTTGGGTCTTATTATGAAGATCTCAACAAGACTTTTGATATGATGCAGATTTCATAACACTATTCAGTTTATAAGTTAAATCACATATCAAATTTTTTAGAGGAAAGTAAAAAACTAGTGCACAAAGAAGGCGCAATTGATAATTGGTGAGACGATTTTTGTGATTATTGTCATTGGAATCACTTCCCAAAAGAATAATTTATAAACCTACTTAAAACTAGTAGCTAGTGGTAAGCAGGGTCGTTCCACAGGGACGGCAGTCAACCACTCAAAATCTGATTAAAATGCAGAAAAGAAAAGAACTAGTTGAACAGATTGTCCCTTGGGAGAGTGAGAATAGTCACTTGACAGAGTGAAGAGACAGAAGGGTCAATCACCTTCCTACCTTTATGATCCAGTTTTGATTCAATATTCCTGTAGTGTATTATTAGTTGTTCGATCAGGCACCTATGTATCTTTATAATTCTTTCCAGATAGAATAAAGAGTCCTAGATTATCAACCCAGTAAGAGTCTAATTTAGTCCAAGCCATAAAGTTTTTAAACCCTTATTGATCGCCTATGCCACCATCGAACTGCCGTTGGTGAATGAAACCAAAGGGGTGGATTTCCTCCTTTGTCATAGACTAGATTAAGCAGTTCTAAGGTTATGCGCCCCCTTCCAGATCTTCATAACCATGCAAGCACTTTTAATTAATTGATCAAATTAACTAAAGGTTAATTAAAGCACTTATCTAGGCACAACACCTCGTCAGAGAAACTGAATCAAAACCTTACATAAAGATAGTCGGGATTGAACCCTTAATTGAGTTAGCTACTCATGCTTATTGAGTTAAGCATGAGTGCAACAGAGTACAAAAGATAGGACATGAATCCTAATCAAAAGGTTAGAGGAAAGAAAGGGAAGATGGTAGCAGGGATAGTTCTGCCTGCTCACTATGGCGAGTGGCGTCCTCCACTTGACAGAGTGACAATCTGCCTTGTTCCTGCTATTACCTATTTCTAACCAACTAACTAACTACCTAACTACTATCTTTTAGACTAAATCTAACTACCCAATCTGTTATTTTTCTACTGATATTGGATGACTATTTATAGAGATTTCGAGAGGCTTAGATTGATGGAGTTATGGCCTTCTTCTTTGTAGCAGAAAGGTGAGGCAACAACTTGCAGCAGAAGAGATTTGTTTATTCTGAGTTGGCAAGTTGTAGTCTTCTCTTTGGCTGCTCTTTCTCTTCAGCCGCAATTTACCACCTTCGTCTCATCATTGCCTTCTTCTCTTAGTCTTTTTCTCTGGCGCAACTGCTCTAATTCTCAGCCACAAGTCTCTATTTCTTCATTCTTTAATCCTCAGCAGTCTAATTATAGTAGCAGTAGCAAGCAGCAGCATCAGCAGAATGCTTCATTCCATCATTGTGTTTCAGCCCCCCAATTCAGCCTGAATCTTCTGCCCTTTTCTTCATTGTTTCTTGGGTCACTTGCTATGTCATTGCTCACCCTTCTGCAGCAGCCAATCCATCAACTCAGCAGCAGCGTCAGTGGGTAAGTAGCAGAGTTGCATCACTGCTTATCACATATTCTCCCTCTTTCTCTTCTTCACTTGCAATGACAACAACTTGCACTGATGACAAAGAAATTTCCTTCATTAGGCACCAAGATTTCAGCTAGTGGCTCCTCTTTGATTGACAGCAGCAACAGCTACTGTAGCAGCAATCAGGCAGCAGGGCAGCTGCCATTCTTCCTCCAGACCACCATGGGATCTTACAGAGTCTACCGTGATGCGAAGGGCTGTTAGTCTTCACTTAAGATTACAGTTCCCCTAGGTTTCTGACTAGTAGACTCTAGTATAAGATCACAATAATGTAATTAGGCATTCAGATTTTAGCATTAAGTTCAGAACTCTCACTTTGGCAAGTGACATATTGTGCTCGAGAAAGTAAAGAACTATAGTACTGAATTCAAGTGAATCAACAAGTGCTTAAAATTTCAAAATTTCTCGCACCTTTTTGAATCCTCATAGACTTTTGACACTGTATATACATCAACCAATCCACAGTTGCACCACAATCTTTGAAAATAATTTTCAATTTTTTCAAAAATTTGATACTGTCATGCTTAAAACATGCAATGCATACACACAAATGCAAACACATAAATCCCTCCCCCAAACTTAAAATGAGCATTATCCTCAATGCTTACAATAAAGATGCAGGGGAAGAACAGACACATACACTAAGCATGGAATTTGACTGAAATCAGAAAAATCATCACACAAAATGGACTTAATCTAGCCTACAGACTCTAGATGCATAGACTTAAAACAGAAAAACATAAAAACAATTTTAATTAAAAGTAACAGAAGATAAATGAAAAGAAAAACAAAAAGAAAAACTAAAGACTCCCTTGGGTGATTGCAGTCTTTGTCCCCTCAAAGAGGGGTATGGTGGGTTCTCCAAATGCCATGGCCGTTTGAGTTCCTTCCTGACATCTGTGGGCAGAAATTGCATATTGGCTTGCTCCATGAGGCTGGTAATAAGGACCGGAAAGAACCAAGATTTCCTCCTGGGGTTGGAAGCGCAGGAGCCTATCGGCTCTCTAATTACCGCAGCCACATCGACCGCTGTGTTGGTGACTATTGCGTAGGGCAATAGTTCTGCTTCATAGGTTACCTTCTTCCGGCGTCGGCTGGGCATGAGGTTGGTGCAGATGAAATTGAACCAACACGTATACTCTGGTCTTAGAGTTGAAGCTGAGAAGTATCCCAAGCTGCTGTTCCTGAATGTTAAGATGACATCCAGTTCTCGACCCAACATCCCTGAGAGCTCTTCTTCATGGTCAAAATCCATCATCTAATGGAATGTTTCTTCATGGGAGAAACCTATTTCTGACAATTGCAGCAATTCTCTGATTGCCGCATCACTGAAATTAACTGCTCTTTCCCTCACCGTAACGATATCACCCAGTGCTTCTCTCATATTGCGGTAGAATTCCTGACCGCAGTGATGTTTGGCCTTTGAGGGACGTCGCAGAGTCTTTCCCAGTGGTGTTCAACAATATAAGATGACAGATCCATTGGGAAGGATGTCGCCCTTTCCATGATCATCCGCCGTTCCCAATGTCTTGGTCCGGATTCGACCTCCTCTGAACCCTGTATTGAGTCCGCTCTTCTGATCTGACTTTGGCGGACTCTGCTTGGAGTATGCCTCCATCTTCCTGCATCTCTGGATTCTACGGATTGCCATTCTGTCACCATTGTTATGCTATACTGCCGAAGGATAGAAGTGCATTTGGCTATAGGGTTTTGGTGATGGTGGCTGTTAGAAAGAGGCAGAAGGTTGGAGAAGGTTATAGTTTATTGAATAGGGTGTTTATGGAAGAGTGGGATGTCAGTTTTCGAGTTATAATATTCCAATTTCTCAGGCACAACTCTAGACAGTTTTACCCTCCCTCTTTGCCTGCTTTTTGAATCCATCTTCTCTCCTTCATGCTTCCCTTTGACCAGAATACTTGGTGACCTTTTAGCTGCAATTTTATCTTGACAAATCATCTCAATCACGAAAGTGAGTCTATCACTCGCCCAACTGAGACGACAAATCAATGTTCATTGCTTTGTGTAGATAACCAAACTGAAATGTTGCCGTTCTGATTATATCATAGTCTGCAAAGCATTTCAGGTTAACCATCCACACAATCCTCACCTAAAAATTTCTGATAAGGGCTATTCCACCCTTTCTGATTACCACTTAAACAGATTGAATAATTAGCAAAAGATCATTAATAAAAAACTAAGGAGAACAAAATAACTTACCTTGGGTAGCCTCCCAAGCAGCGCATTGGTTTAACCTTTCATGCTAGACTGATTGATGCTCCTTACTTGGATTTCTTCAGTTGCAAGACCTCCTTGTGCTGCATCTCAGCCTTCTGATCTATTTTCCAGTGTGTCTCTAGGAAGAGTGCTAGCATGAGTTAGCTACTGGGAATCCTAATCAAAAGGTTAGAGGAAAGAAAGGGAAGATGGTAGCAGGGACAGTTCTGCCTGCTCAATATGGCGAGTGGCGTCCGCCACTTGAAAGAGTAACAGTCTGCCTTGTTCCTGCCACTACCCTATTTCTAACCAACTAACTAACTACCTAACTACTATCTTTTAGACTAAATCTAACTACCCAATTTATTATTTTTCTATTGCTAGTGGATGGCTATTTATAGAGATTTGGAGAGGCTTGGATTGGTGGAGTTATGGCCTTCTTCTTTGTAGCAGAAAGGTGAGGCAGCAAGTTGCAGCAGAGGAGATTTGTTTATTCTGCAACTTGCCTAGTACTAGGCAAGTTGTAGGCAAGTTGCAGTCTTCTCTTTGGCTGCTTCTTTTCTTCAGCCACAATTTACCACCTTCCTCTCATCATTGCCTTCTTCTCTTAGTCTTCTTCTCTGGCGCATCTACTCCAATTCCCAGCCACGAATCTCTATTTCTTCATTCTTT